TTGCTGAGGAAGACTGGCCCTGAGCTAACATCCATGCCCATCTTCCTCCACTTTATGTGGGATGCCACCACAGCATGGCCTGACAAGCAGTGCATCGGTGCACGCCCGGTATCCAAACCCAGGCCACCAGCAGCAGAGCTCGCGCACTTAACTGCTACACCACAGGGCCAGCCCTTGCCTTCTACTCTTAAGTGATCATTTCTCTGGCTATAAAATTTAAGGATATTATTTTCCCTCAGCACTGAAAATATTATTTCATTGTCTTCTGGCATCTGTTATCACTGATGAGAAGTCAGCTGTCAGTCTAATTAGTGTTTCCTCGGTAATTTGACTTTTATCTCTGGAGTCCTGTAAAATTTTTCACTTTACCCTAAATGGTCAATAGTTTCACTATTCTGTGTCTAGGTATAGATTTATCATTATTTATCCTAGTTGATATTCAAGTGTCCTTGTAACATAAGGACTTACGTCTTTCTTCAATTCTGGAATATTCTTATATAGAATCTCTTCAAAATTTTGTTTTTTTGTCATTTCTCTCATTCTTTTCTTCTAGAACTCTTATCGTAGATGTTTGTTGAAGCCCGCCAGTATGTCTTCCATGTGTTTTTCATATTTAAAAAAAGTTCTTTGTGCTGTGTTCTGCATGAATTACTCAGCACTATGTTTCAACTTGCTAAGCCCCTCTTCTCCAGTGTCTAGATTAGAATTTATTTTGTCTATTGAATTTTTAATTTGACAACAATTTTACTATTTTGAAGATTTCTAAATGGTTATTTTTCAAATCCACCTGTTCTTTTTCCATTTTTATTTATTATTTTGTTTGTTTCAAAATTTCTTGTTCTATTTAAATGGAAGTTATTCCTTCATTTACCTCTTTGGGCATGCCATATACTGTTTTTAAAAATCTTTATAAGACTGTGTCATAAAATTAATTTTATTGTGAGTGCATTCAAGTTGTGATTGTTGATTTTCTTTTGTGTTCTCTCTTAGTATTATATTTCTTTGTGTATTTTGGAGTTGTTGGTTTAATTCTGAATTTGTGTTTTTTCTTCTTCACTCTTTCCATATCTCTATGGACATGGTTTCCATGAACCCTGTTTAATGGTTTCATAGCTGCCTCTGGATGCTCTTATTCTTCCCCAGCCCTCAGTTCAGAACTAGAACTTAAAAGACATTTGAGGTTCCTAGCTGGTGGTAACAATGGTGACACCACAGATCCAGTCACTAGGCCAGCCGGCAGCTTGCTTCACTTCCAGGTCAGGGAGCTTCAGTGTGTCCTCCAGTGCCATGAAACTAGGGGTTGATAAGCACAGTTTTTTTCTGCTTCCTTTGTTGGGGGCTGGGGAGGATAGAGGCTGAGGTTGGAGGTTTGAGCCTGAATTTTTCTCATTGGTTTTCTATTTTTATATTTATATTTACTATTGCTATTGGAGCAGATCAAAGTTGCTATTGGAGGTGATCAAAGTTGATCTGAAGTCATAAATAGCTTCCTTATCCCCTTCTCTACTGCCACACTCGAGTTCAGGCCACCATCTTGCCTGTAGACTGACTCCCAACTGGTCTCTCCTCCTCTAGTCTTTGCTCCCTCCAATTCATTCTTCCCACCAGAGCCAGAGTGATTGTTATAAAATGGAATTCCACTCACATCACTACCCTGCCTAAAGTCTTTAAATGGTTCTCTGTTGTCACAGTCAGTAGCAGAGATGGAGTGAATTCACCAGCACAACATGGAAAAGAAAGGAAGGAGTTTAAGGTGCTGGCTCCCATTGCTCACAGGCAAAGGAGCATGAACTCAAGACTAGTCATTTAAGATGGAAACATTCTCAAATGTTACTACGTCCCTGAAAATGTGTGTCCTCACTGGAATGATCTCAGGACAAGGAAATAGATCAGAAATGTTTTCTAGATCCCATATAGAATCAACGCCTTCTTAGAACATGTGACAATCATTTAGAAATCAAAAGCTAATGTGACTCCACAAGCTAGGAAGAATAGCTAGATCACAACAGAAGCCTTCAAATTTCCACTTGATATTAGTTACTGAATATTTCCTACTTGCAAGGCACTGTGGAGAAAACAGAATGTGTAAGAAATACATTCTGGGCCAGCCCCGTGACTTAGCAGTTAAGTGCGCGAGCTCCGCTGCTGGCGGCCTGGGTTTGGATCCTGGGCGTGCACCGATGCACCGCTTCTCTGGCCATGCTGAGGCCGCGTCCCACATACAGCAACTAGAAGGATGTGCAGCTATGACATACAACTATCTACTGGGGCTTTGGGGGAAAAAATAAATAAATAAATAAATTTTAAAAACCTTTAAAAAAAAAAAAGGAAATACATTCTACCTTCAAAGATCTCACAAGGTAGTAAGCAAGGTGACATTTACAATTACTATAGAAAATATTTATGTGTGGTGTTATGGGTTGGATTGTGTTCCCCCAAAGATATATTGAAGTCCTAACCGCCAGTATTTGGGGATGTGAACTTATTTGGCAATAGGATTGTCACAGATGTAATTAGTTAAGATGAGGTCATACTGGTATAGGGTGGGCCCTTAATCCAATATGAGAAGAAGAGACATAGAGACAGAGACACAGGAATGGAGAATGCTCTGTGACAATAGAGGCAGAGATTAGAGTGATGGCAGCTGCAAGGCCAGGAATGGGAGGACTGATGGCTACCACCAGGAGCTAGGAAGAGGCAAGGATTCTCCCCTACAGGTTTAAGAGGGAGTGTGGCCCTGCCATCACCTTAATTTAGGACTTCTGGCCTCCAAAACTGTGAGACAATAAATTTCTGTTGTGTTAAACCATCCAGTTTGTGGTTCTTTGTTATGGCAGCTCTAGGAAACTAACAAATGTGTTATAAACAAAATGGCATAACAGAAAGAAATCATTTCCAGCTGACAGGATCAAGAAAGACTTCTGGAGGACGTGGCATTTGTGTTGAGCTTTAGTGGGATGATTTTGATATAGAGAGATGGCAAGAGGGGAAAAGGCTTTAAATTATGATCTTCCATGTCAATCCAAATGCCATCTTGAAGCCTAACTCTCCTAAGCACCCTCTCTGAAAAACAAGTGGAATTTGATCCACTTTAATGCCTTGAACCTACTGTCAACTTTGCCACTAACTAACATTGTTACCACACAAAGGGCACGATCTGCTTGCCGTGAGACAAAAGCCAATCATCAAGAGGCAAGATGGTGGAAAAGGGCAGTTTATTACAGCTTGCTAGCAAAGGGGAAGATGGCCAACTAATGTCTCAAAAAACCATCTTACAGAATGAAGACTACAGGCCAGTTATACAGAGGGCTGGTCTCCGAGTGGGGAGGCATCTGGTCCCAGGGTGGGGGCATCTGGTCTCAGGATGGGGGCATCCATCTGGTCTTAGTTCCTGGCAGTCTTTTGTTCTGCTTGATATACATCAGAAACCAGAGCAACGCCCTAGACCCTAATCTTTCAGTTGTCATTAATGATGGCTATCAGCATAGACTCTCTGCCTGGGGGGTGGGGGGGGGTGGGGGGCATCACATTCCTAAGGAACTCAAAAGAACAAAGTTATCAACTTACAGCAGCTGGGAGGGGCCATAAAGTCCAGAGTTAGTCAGAGGTCATTCCAAGTCACAGTATGGTGTCTTTTCTACAATATGGCTTCCCTTATGTCCACCTTGTATTGAGTGGGTATCAACATGACTTTCAAGGTATAAAATCTAGGAGAACAAAATATTTTACACATCCTTTATTATTTCTCACACTAGTGTGCTGTGGTTAAAATATTATTTGCTTTTACTACCTTTATGTCACACTATAAAAAGGGGAAGTCTGCTTTATGGAGACCTTAGTAAGTAGTAGCTTATTAAAATCTTAGTCTAACCAGAATAGACTCAATAGTAACAGGAAATGTGGTTTGGAACTACTTGCAGGTGATGCTTTTGACGGTGTGATGTCTTGTGACCTATGATGTCTTCACAGTGATGCTGCCAGGTTCTACTATGGTTATGTTGTTTGTTTTGTTTGCATTGTTTAGCAAGATTCTTCAGTAAATAAATTCTGAAAATCTCAGGAGTCATTTGAGGGGCAGGGAGACACGGCTGTTGCTCCGCTTCTCACAATCCAATCTTCATTTTGGGTTTCAAATCAAACCGAGGGACTCTACATGGCTTCCATCGTAAACACAAGCATCTACTGGTTCCATCTTCGAAAAATGTAGCAGTCCCACCTGAAACATGGAGCAAATGATTTCAAAACACAGGGGTTCTTAACCAGAGAGGCACTTCGGGATCACCGGAGGAGCCTTAGAGCAATACGGGTCTCGCTTGCACCCCAGGTGGGACATGGTCTCATCTTATGACAGCGGGCCCCAACCAGTCAGGGGCCGACGGACCCCGGAGAGCAAGTTCTGTACCCAGACGGGGCCAAGTCCCACGAATCAGCTGAGGAATCGTTTCCCTCTCGCCTTCAGCCTCCAGCCAATAAGGCCATTCCAGGCCCCTCAGCGGTGTCTATGCCTCACGGCGCCACTCTGGCCAACCTTCCCCAG